AATGTTGCTTTCTGCCTCAGACTTTAGTACTTCATATTCTGAGCTTTTTAATCTAACCCGATTTATCGAAACCGTTACAAATGCATCGCAGGGGGGACATCCATCACAATATGAGAGGCTTCTGGTATGATGATAAGTTCAAGAAGCATTGTTTCGATCTTGTTTGTTAGCGAAATATCATATTTCTGGTTGCATATCTTTATGGTGTCAAATAAAGGGTCACGGCATCTGTCACTGTTGCGAGGTAAATCGTCGCCGTTCAGTAAACAACCCGTATTGAATCGACGTTTTACCGTTGTCCCGCGTATTCTGCCTGCCTAACTGGTGAACATGCAGATGATTGATATCACTTACGGCCAACTTGAATATCTTCACATTACTTCTTTTACGTCAAAGTGTAACCGAGTTCGTCCATGGGCCTATAAGTCATGATCTAAAAATACATTTTTCAACATTTGCTGATATTCTATTTTCTCCCCGTAAATACACTCAAGTCCCCAGTTTATTATGATCCAACCTGCAATTAGTCATCTCTAAAGAACCATTGCAAATCATGCTCTTCACTTTGTATCTTGGTGTAAACACCAGACTTAATCTCACCTAGACTAGTCTTATCAACGTATTTTTCATAAACGTCCCACAACCCACTTTAACTCAACATGACTAAAGTCATTATCTACCTCATTGTACTCAATTAGCCGCCTTAAATTTCCATCCACCCATCAACAATGGATTTACTCCTTGTTTGTCATATTTCCTGGATTAATCATAAAAGATTCTAAAATTCAGAAAAGCAGCCAGACACAAGCATTCAAGTTTAGGAAAATATGACGATTGCAGTAAGTTGCGCAACATCAGTGAATGATCCAGGAAATATGACAAGGCAGTTATATCTCTCTGGGGAATATTGTTTTGAATTATTCCTTTCTCATACTCAGAACATATTTTGGGCCTCAATCAAATCGGGATAATTAGTGGGGAGTATTGTGCATTGAATAACAACAGTTTTCAGTGATTTCCCTACTGCATAATCGGGCAGCAGATAGATAGATGTTTTCTTGTAAACAAGATGTCGAACCTCACTTGACATATGATCTGGGGCATTACCTTATAACAAGGCACTTTCTTAGAAGAACGTCCAGGGTGACAGACAGTGAGCTTCCATGCGTTCAACTCGGTGACTTCTGCGTGGATCGAAGTGTCTCTACTACCAAGGTTGATTGCTACTTTTGCAGTCAGTAACACCTGACTTGAAGCGTTCTGCAACTTCAAAATCCGTCCTTGGAAATTCCTTTTTGCCACCGACGAAGTACTAATCTACCACACAGTTCATCCAAAGTAAATCATAGGTTAAAACGGTTTACCAAATGAGTTGAATCTTCTGTCGGTTGAAACACTTAGACGTTGTTGTTAATACTGCCTACCTTCACCAAGGTTGTTAGTGGTTTTCTGCAACTCGTGTCAACCGGCGAGGTACGCTTTACGACATCAAAGTAAAAAGAATCATTTTCTTCGAACAAATTGTTTTTTGGTGGACGCATTTGCGATCACTCTCATTTTCATCACTGTTCATTCAAAGAAGATCTACGATCAAAAAGACTTACGATATGATTTAAACATTTTTGTGGTCAGGTAACTTTGATTTTCGTATAATATGGAACCTGATTTGAATGAGAGCTAAAGCATTTAACATGTCTCTACATTTGTTTGCAAGGTAGCTTTGAAAATGTGTTATCAAATCTACCAGAAACATTACTGGAATATCGCTGGGTGTAATTTTTCCCCCCATTCCGATAAACATTGTTATGCAGGTCGAATTTGTTTGTACTTTTGTACCTCTTCTGTATCATTCCCGATTCCACATGAATAATGTGAAAAATCATGCTGACATTGGGAAGAATAACTGGAAATATGTTTACGACATGGACATATATTTGATGGGTTCGACAAGTTTCACACGCCTCTTTATTATACTGGCAGACTCTTCCGGTTCTCAGAAAGTGTTTTTGCAAAGAAACGAAAACAAAACCGACATTTAACGGAATGCGCTCAAATTATCTTGACGTTCACTCCACGTATTCGAATTGAACCGAAAAGCTTCTTCCAGTGAGGCTACCATCTAACGTGATTTCGTTGATGAACTGTTAGACAACCTTGTATTCTCTGAATATGTTCGCTTCGATTTGTTCCTGTCTGCTAGGCAGGCGTTTTGTAAATAATTCACAAACAATGTTTCTGGTGGAATCGTGACTTGTTCATCAATGAAGACAACCACATTTGGCTTGTTTCTCTTCACTCGGCTGAACAAGAAAAACATTCAAATAATTTCAGACTCCTGGAATTCGAGCTAGTTTATCTTGGTGACCAAAGTCAAACAACTTAAACCGTCGCCAAATCGCAGCATAACTATTGAGACTGAGATCAAGTTGTTTGGAACTTTGTGCCCCGCTCTGGCGTTGTGATGTGCTACGAAGAGCTCGGCAAAGAGGAGTTGATTGCCCAGAAACAGATTCGTCTAGCAAATTTCGAAAATGCCAGTATCACTTAGAGAAAATCACACCAATCATGGTAAATGGTTTTAGGTACAACCATTTTCAAACATACTGATTGCATACCAGATATACGCTTTTTAACGAAGATTAGTTACTCACTTTTATATGATGGAATCCGCTGTTCAGTGATTGTGAAGAATCGTACCATTGACTGAAGCGACTCAAAAGTATAAGCTGCATGTGTTCGTACACGTGAAACACAGGATTTGTTGTAGAAAATCTGGATCTCTTGTACTGATCTCATGTATTGAGCTAGTTATTTGTCTACTTAAGAGGAAGTGAAGATTTCCTTGGCAGTGTTCCGGTGAAATTCAGTTTTGGGTTTCTGGTGGACAAGATCCAACTGTTTAAGCATCTTTGAGCTCGCCATATATTAGAACTTACCAGCCCTAGCATCAACTCTAGATTCATTCGAAATGTTACCATATTTTTTACCCTTATTAGAAAATTGAGTTTAGTTAAATTGGATCATAGTCGGCACAAATCCACTGGGTCATAGTATGGGTTAAAGGGACAACGGTAAAACGTCGATTCAATACGGGTTGTTTACTGAACGGCGACGATTTACCTCGCAACAGTGACAGATGCCGTGACCCTTTATTTGACACCATAAAGATATGCAACCAGAAATATGATATTTCGCTAACAAACAAGATCGAAACAATGCTTCTTGAACTTATCATCATACCAGAAGCCTCTCATATTGTGATGGATGTCCCCCCTGCGATGCATTTGTAACGGTTTCGATAAATCGGGTTAGATTAAAAAGCTCAGAATATGAAGTACTAAAGTCTGAGGCAGAAAGCAACATTATTTTCCCTTTCTCATTTAAAAGTCACTTCATTTAGATCCACAGAAATTCAGCTGGTCAAGTAAACGGAGGCGTGATGTTTGGCTGATTTTTCTTCGTCACACAACACCTGCATAATTCAGTAAAACCATTCGGTTCCTGCAGGTGGTTTTTCAGTCCTCACAAAACAATTCCCCACTTTTTTTCTCCCACTCGTCCTTTCTTCACACTTCATGTTCACATTACCGATCAAATGAATTCATTTGAATTCGATGGTATAAAACATTGTCTCCACATGACTATTACCGACTGTACACTTTGTAATTGTACACACTATTTTCCTTTCGGTCTGTCAAAATGTGTCACCCAATGACATGGCTCCCCTGCATTTTGGTTGAATGCTTTGTTTGTTATTGATTTTGTATGCTGAAGATGCCAAAAATTGAACAAAACGAGTATAGTATTTATTGAAAATCATGTAGTTAGAATTAGGAAGACAGAAAAGAACAAATCCCGCTTTGAACGCGAAAGAAAATGGCAGGATGGTCCGTAGTTTGAAACCAAACTTCATAGTTGAAAAGATGTGTTCTGTGGATTGAATTACATTCCTGGGTGTTAGAACAGCACACACTGTTCAATGGTTAAGCTGGATAAACTACCACCTTTATTAGGTCTGAATTGCACAAACATTGCCAAAATCTATTTCGGTTCAAAATATACTTCTGGCACTAGTCCTAGTATTGATGTTTTCCATTAATGGGACAATTATTTGACTTATTGTTCACAGTGCTTTTATTTCACGATTCGCTTCACTTAGGACGCTCGTTGCTTTCCATAGGACTGCGTTTTTTACCCATTAATTTGCGGGTGGTACACTGATAACCCAATACAATGATTCAATCTTATCTCGGGGTCAGTCATCGGATCTGAGTCTGAAAAAAGCGTCTCATGATATATCTTCCAACTGCATTTATGCATTTCACTCTTCATATACCATCAAATATGATCGACCTTGTTCTGCATCAACTCAAACAAGAAAAAACGCATGCTTACAACTTTCGAAAATTTAACTTAGTATGTAAGAAATCACCATTGGTAGTCACATGCTGGGATACAAACCAGTAGGCATGGAAATGGGTAAAATTCGCAAATGCACGAATATATTATTGGTTAGGAGATTTTGTTTAGTTTGATTATAGACCAGGAAAACAACTTACAAAAAATGAAGCTAGCTCCAAATTACATTTCTAGTTATTATAATGATGAAGGTACACCGAGAGAGATAAGCTGGTAAAGGTTTGGCAAACAGCCTTGGGCTCGTAATAGCCTAATCATTGTTGCGGATTTAGGTTCACCCGATTGGCAGGAGCACAAATGGGGAAATATTGTGCCAGCATACATACCTTTACTCAATACATCATCTAACGCATTTGAAGTAAGGGTACTATGTATTTGGGAGTTAGTTTGCAGCAGAAGACGGAACTGGGTAAGTTTGTGGACACCAAATGCGGTATCATTAAAAAATGCTAAAAGCTGATGGTAAATGTTCCACCGTTGCGAATAGAACATATGTGAACCTCATGTGGCCATTGAAAATAATGTTGCGTTTGGGATACATGAAGTAAAAGATGATGTGCCGTGAAGTTGTAACATGGGTGTTACAAAGGCATATGCCATATGCAAACTTGAGCGTGATTCGTCCTGCGAAATATGACGTTGGCCAGGTCCGGTGTCCGCATCGCGTTGTAGTCCAGTTCTCTGACATGGTGATATAGTAACCCTAATTGATACATGGAAATCAGTATACCGTGGGATATGTTACCGACATCCCAAACCAGCACAGTTATCATTTTGTTCGATTCTGGTGTTACATGATCAAAACAAGCTGTTTATGACCCTTCCTAAACAATAGAGTTGAAGTAAATGTGGAACTACTAGGTTTCTAAATCTGTCCGTCAGGCTAATAACTCGGACGAATTTCATTTCTATTTGTTTTGACATGATATGCGCTTGCAACTGTCGCGAAATGAGCTATTTATACAAAATATTTTCGGCTGGGGTCAGTGGAATGTGAATTTGTGAATATCAATAACAGAAACCATAATCTTATCGTGCGGGAGGGATCCTCTTTGGGATTATTTGTATCGAAAGTGAATAGGAGAGTTTGTGAAAGATGAGTTATTTATCTACTGGGGAACGTCCGGGTTCGTCCACGATAGCAGATCACTCAAGATTATTCTGGAACGTCTGTCTTTTCATTGGGTTCGCCGAAGAGGAAATTCGTGTCACGGTTTCAAAATGCCGTTTATATATCGTGAATAGTTTAGAATACCATTGAATGTAAGTACGCCGAATAACAGAGATTAGATTTTAAATGCACGTGTATCACAGTCATTTGGGTCACTTCAGGCTAGTAAAAGTATCGGCAAATCAGGTGTCTTACCATTCTTTGTTAAACAATAACTGAAAAATCTACTCTGAGTCAATCGAATTCATAGAATAAAGTGTACAGATTTGCAAAAAGTATCAAGGTCATATTCGGTAGATATTTCCTGATTCATGATATTCTAACGCGTGTCCTTGGTCGCCAACGTTTCATCACTGGAGTGTATAATGACCATGGATTTTTTCTACGAACAACATGCACTTACCTAATGTTGAAGAAGTAGTGAGAGTTGTTTGTGTTCCAAAACCGAATCATCAGTGCAATTGGTTGCAAATGGTAAATGGATGCAGTAAAATTCAACAAAGTTCGTCCATGGGCCTATAAGTCATGATCTGAAAATACATTTTTCAACATTTGCTGATATTCTATTTTCTCCCCGTAAATACACTCAAGTCCCCAGTTTATTATGATCCAACCTGCAATTAGTCATCTCTAAAGAACCATTGCAAATCATGCTCTTCACTTTGTATCTTGGTGTAAACACCAGACTTAATCTCACCTAGACTAGTCTTATCAACGTATTTTTCATAAACGTCCCACAACCCACTTTAACTCAACATGACTAAAGTCATTATCTACCTCATTGTACTCAATTAGCCGCCTTAAATTTCCATCCACCCATCAACAATGGATTTACTCCTTGTTTGTCATATTTCCTGGATTAATCATACAAGATCGTAAAAGTTTGAATACGATGGGAGGGGGAAACTATGGTCAATGTTTCAAATGAGTTGAGCAAAATACAACTTTCCCAATCCAAAACGAATGGCAATCTAGTTGGGATTGACCACCATGTTTCATAATTTTTAAACATAGAATTTTACTAGTTATATCAGCTACAGGGAGTTTATCATATACTATGGCTTTATTGGTCAACAACAACAAATATGTTTCTAAAATGATAAACTTACCACAACACAGCACACGTTGATTTATCCCATTGAAGTTGAAAGTTCCGTATTTCCTGGCGAATTCAATACTTTTCCCTGTAAAATGAACAGATATTTACGTTACCAGACAACGCAAAACGTTTTATCAATCAGAGAAGGGGACTATAGTACACCATGACGTTCCATTGTTGTTGTTTTTTCAAACTATTGAAAATGGTGTTGTGTGTACGAGAAGCAAATAATGCGACCTACTACATTTTAGAATGACGAAAACATTTTCCGAAACTGTAATGGCAGAAGTCCAACGATCTGATTGACTGACGAGAACCGTTGCTTCATTGACACTTCTCTGGGACTAAAACCTAAAGTGAAGTATTGCGATACTTGTCTGGCTTTTTCCAGATTTTGTTGAATTGCACCACTTCTTGACATAACCACCCTTCGATGCGCACTTTCAGGCGTAACAACCCGTGATGATTTCTTACATTTAAGAAAGAGCTCCAAAGTTTTCTAATGGCTTTCAGTGAAAATCCTAACTTCTTTACTGCATGATGAACAGTTGAAAAAAATAATGTAAATCCTTTTTGGAGCCAAAGAATTGGCTAATTTACCACAACATTTGCGAAGTTGAGTTGTTCTGTTTTCCGCCCAGCTCCAATTGTAACTGAATATTTTGACTTCTACCAAAAAATACGAATGTTTTCGCTGCAAACGAATGTTTATTGTCCATAATAAAGCAGGGTGAAATCTCCCTTCAGATTTGACATTTCAATTCATCATGTCATGAAGTTCAAATTTTGCTCTATCACTTTTCTTTCATAAGAGACACAAAATACGATGCGATAAAAGCAAACAGTCACGGTTATGAGGGAAAACATTCAGACTATCGTTTGGACAATGAAAGTACTACCTAGAGAAAGAAATATCATGAAAATTACGGAGTTGTACAATACATATCCACTGGGTTTCTATTCAGTCATTTTGTCCGAGTGACTCTGCGGACGTCAATGCGCATCAAATTCCAAAGAATCTTTGTCTTCTTAGTTTATCCGGACACATGGATCATGAGTTGTCGCCATTTGGCACATCAAGGCAGTCAACTCACCTACCACCGTGAGCAAAGCACATACATATAAACGTGATGTGGCAAAAGCCATCGACTGGAAAAACCCATATATACCGTTGTGGTTTGTTTGTCTAGGCGAAGAAAACAGTGTGTACTGACGTGTTTGTCGTGGTGAACTAAAATATAAATGTAAATGAAACCGAACAACACATTTCACCGTCCTAATGCACAGTTACAGTAATCAATCGGGCAGATGATTTTTGTGAAAGTTACCGGTATATGAAAAAAATAATAATTTGCTAACCTCATTTTCCCCCGTCATTTCTTTCTTAGCCTGCGAACTGTGGTTTTTTAGTTTGGAATAGTTTTTTGACGCAATCAAGTGCTTCCGATTTCGAGTTCCGTTTCATAAGTTCAACTGGATATCCATCGAGAGGCTCCCACTTTCAAGTAAAACCATCCATGATTGTCCTGACATATTCACATCCATGAACAAAAAGACATAAACGTCTGAGGATAATCGGTTCTTACGTGAAATATAGCAAAGACCGAACAGCCCGAATGTCAAAACCGTACACCAGTTCGCTATCATGCTTCATCTCTGCGCGAATTGGTCGAATGTCGGATTGTGTACATGGGTGAAACTGATCAGTTTGTGAGCAAAATTTACTCTTCTTCCAGACTGGCAATGAAAGGCTTATTCCTTGTGTCGATGTTTTTAACCAATTTATCAATACGGACTCGCAGAAAAAGTAATAAGAGCGTAGTAACTAAAATGTTGTTTTATTGGCTCCTAGATAAAACATGTGTACACTGAGGCGTGATTTGAATGAATACTGATTGGTAAACTAGCACTGTCTGCAAACGTCCCCTCCTGTCATCGGTAATGCTCACTGATTGGATGAGTTATGCAAGTGGTCCAGCAGGGTGCATTAGCTATGCAGTGCTTGTATTGTGCGCTGTCTGGAAGTTCAAGGTTGTTTTGAATAAATCATCAGATACTACGTTGACACGACGTTTATTCTACTGTATTGTATTGAAGACTTCAGCAAGTTAACACACTCACATTTTAGCCAAATGACGGGAAACTGATTACTGACACTTTGAGATAATCGAAAAATATAATTACTGTGGAAAGGAAACTGGTTCAGCAATCGAGGTTAGTGCGAAGTTCCTCTGCGACTTCCAGCTTGTCAACCAGAACACGTGCTAAGGAAGGCATAGTAGAGTTACGATAGACCTTCATGTGTGGGGGAGATAAGTCTTAGTGCGGTATTTGTGTAAGGATGCGAACGACATGTGAATAAGTCAAGGTACAAGGGATGGGTGGGGTCTGCAAGAATCTTCTTGGAACATTCTTCACAGGCTGTAATGTGCAAATCGAAAACGTATGAGAAGTGAGATCCCATGGTAATCAGAGAGACTCGGCTGATAATGGCTAGGCTTATGTGCAGTCTGATGAAATCTTTCTTAAATAGACCATGAAAGATTATGGGTGAGCAGTAGACTGAGACTGGGAGAATACATTGATAGAAAGTGGGAAAATGACTGCTTGTGTGGCACCAAACCATCTGAGCCTACGAATTTGAAAAGGAAGTCTACGTAAATTTTACCACAATCAAGAATACATGAAGATTACTGTTATTCGGGGCTGATTGTGACGCCTAAGCATTTGACGGATTCAGCCCTGTACAAAGGGACACAGTTGGTGATTGATATATATATATATGTCCCTCGGAAAAAGAGTCGAAGGCTTGTTGGTTAAAGATAGATTGACAGATAACGACATCGTCGGTGGAGCAGTTGTCCAGCCGGTGATATGTTTTGTAAAGAGAAAGAGGGAGAGAATGGCACCCTGAAGAACACCTGAGTTGTTAACCAAAGGACTCGACAAACTTGCACAAATTCTAGTAAATTGAGTTCTTTTGAAAATGTAGTACTTCAACCAGGATACCAATAAGTGGGACAGCCAAAAGTCTCTAGCTCTTTAAGAAATACAGGGCGGGGAATCGAATAGAATGCGGAAGAATATTTGAAGAAAATACATTGAACGTATTTTGTGGAACGATTTCAGTTGGTTGGAATGAAATACCAAACTGAAGCAACGCCAACTAGAGTGCATCTATTGGGTTTGTACGCACACTGACGGGGGTCATTAGGAACAACATAGAGAAACGCAACCAACTTGGGATCGCGCTCGGTCACTTTCAGTGCAGAAGAAGAAATGACGATGGGACAAAGAGTTTTGACAAAATGTTGGGAATAGAATCCTCGAAAATAGGTTTCCGGGAGGCAGAAATAGGGTCAGCATCAACAGATTTATTGATGAAAGGAGACATAATTCTGGATAGTTGACTTGCTCCAAATTTGAGAATTGTGGGTTAAGGCCGTCTGGATCCAGAGCAGAAGTCAGTTTTGAAGTTCGAAGGAACTGGATGAAACCATTTGACGAAATGGCTCCAAATCTTAGGGAACAGAAGGAAAAGGACGAATAAACGCGGCGTTCAGTCTGTCGGCATCCATATCGAATTTTCTCCACCGGATGCTTTGTTCCCATAGACGCCAGATTGCGTACCAGAGAAGTTTGCCAGTGGTGTCATTCAAATAGATTACTCAGTGTTATTGTGAATAGGTCTAGCAGGCAAAGAGAGCAGTCGAGAAAAAGCCACGTGGTGAGAATGGAACGGGACCTCTGAAGAAGGGTGATGTTTTTGGGTGACAAATTCGAAGAGGTTACCTTTAGTTGTTTTGTCTTGACGAGTGAATGGTGCAAAAACGTGAATGAATTATGAACCTGGTGATAATGAGAGCTTGATCACTTGTAAGCGAAGAAGATTGGGATGTTTGATGATACTTCTATCTGAAACAGCCTTCCCTTTTATTTGGATGAGACAGAGGTAATTGAACCAAAATCAGGTGACGGATATGCGCATGCATATGCATGATTGAAATCAGCAATAACAATGTATAACCAATCAGACAGCAATGGAAACAGGATGCGTATAACAGCGCCAAACACATGTCGACGTCCTTCCGGGAGCATAAATGGGCTAGACACATACAGAAAGGCGGGAATTAAGGGTGATGTTTACCAAGCCGGCAGTCACTACCATTACAGAAGACAGTTAAATGAATGTAGACTTGCCAGAATATTCAAAATTGATGAAAGTAATCACATTGCTACCTGTCTTTATTTTGCACTGCTTTCTGTCTTGGCGGAAGCACTCGAAGTGTTCAAGAAGAACGAGTTCGTCATCGATACTTTCATTCAACCAAGACTCCTGGATACTGGTCACACAAGTGTTCGTGTCAATTCGAGAGTTAACGACAATGGTTTGGAAGGGTATACCATTGCAGTGAGTGGTCATCCAGTGCTAGTTCGCGTGTCTTTGCTTATCTCCATTTGTCACCAATTCTAGTACTCGATTTTGGTGATATGTTAATTCGCCTGGACAACGGTTCAGATTAGCAGTCAACTTTCTCACTGATCGCCAACTGTCTAATGATATTTATTGGTTCCGTGCTTGCGCACCCATGATGGTGTCATACAAACGCTTGATAATATTGGCTGCACGCTAAAATGAACAGATCGTTGTGACGTGAAATATTTGGCAGCTGTAAAGATTATGACCATCAAATTATTTAAGAATGTCTGGTCATCCGTAGTATGAGTCTCAAAGCGGCTTACATGTATGTGAATTGAATCAGTTTTGTGTCAGATAATGTTGAACAAGATATACCAAAAAAATACCATATGGTCATATGGGAATTGTACCGATGAACCGAGTGGCTATGGAAAATGTTCTGATGACCATGCACACAGGTGAACTCATGAAAGTTTGCACCATAGGGCTTCTCACTAGAATTACCTTGTTTGATAGATATTTCACTCTGCAATATTCTTTTATATGAAACCGAATGTGGAATGATTTCATGAAGAATAGAGGGATTCATGACTATCATGTCATTCGTGGACGATACAGTTTTGAATAACCGGGACATTATCCGGATTAGGTAAGGAATTGTTGTTACTCACATCTCGCCAAGCTTGCATGGGTACAAGCCACACATGTGCAATTCTCCACGGAGTCACATAACATAGAAGTCAGAAAACGTGTGTAAATATAGTGTTGTCCGTAACATTTAGAAGAGCAGCAATCGAGTCAGGAGCATGTTAGTACTTGTCGCAAAAGTTTATTATGCTTTTAAACCAGGCCGACTAAAATCAAATGCACAACTAATTTTGAATCAATAACTAGACAATGCAATCAAGTATTTAGTGGAATGACTCAGACATGTGAGATAATGTTGACTGTGTGGTAATGAATTTTGCCTTTCAAAATCAAAGCTGCGTCCATCTGTTTGTTGTACGCTTTCACAACATTTAAGTCACTGGAGATTTTCATACTCACAATAAGGAATTTCCTGATAACAGTTCTGATTTGAATGAGGTCAGTCATTCATTCATGTCTTTTGAGAAATGTTTTCCTACGGACTACAAAACATTTTGACCAGAAAGCGACCTCGTAAGCGGGAGAAAGAATAGATCAAAAGGTCATGGTGTGTAGGAAATTTTGACGACAAAAATGGGACATTTACTCTAAATCCGTAATGCTGATTGTGTGTATCAGGAATCAGATATTCACTGAAAATCATGGAAGAACCGTAAAAATCATGCGTTCTGCCGAAACACAAGTTTGAGTGAAACCCAGAACGTAATGTGCATGAGTCACATATGTTATGAGTAAGCACTTCCGTCTGTTTCGATTCAGCACGGATGGGATTTGATTCATATGAAATAAAAGGGGACGATGTAGTATGAACTTTATTGTTAACTTCAATCGTAATTAACACTATTGGTTTTATAGGTTAATGACTGGTAGTCGTAGATAAGCTGCAAGATTTTCCTCATGAGCATAGTCCGTGATATTACCATACTGAATAAATCACAAAAGTTGATCTTCAAGTAGAATACAAGGCAGATTTTTTCAGAGGTCGTACTTGGTGATGCCCTGTTCTGATCATCAAACACCTAAATCAAATGCCACAGTCAGATTTGTAAAAAAAGAAACCCTCATGGAAGCAATCTAC